TTTTTTAAAAAAATTCACATATAAAATTTGATATACATCTATACATAGTTTTGATTTACATAGTTGAACTCACCCCCCAGTGTTACATGATCTTGATTATTTAAACAATATAAGATCTTAGAAATAACTAGAGGAAAAAGGTTAGCTTTAGAGAGAGTTAGTCTTAGCTTTAGTAGCGAAATAATAAAGAGACATTTAAACTATAAATTGTGTGTTTGTATTGTTATAGTGTACATGGAATTAAAGGTGGGAGTACTCAGTATGATACTCCAGTCCCGTATAACCAAGTGAGCACTATTAGTTAGTGCAAATTGAGTTAAAACTCCTAGGAGTAAAGGAACTCTTTGACACAAGGACTTAAGTAAGGGAACAGCCTTACCTTGCTGAATTTCATGGATATTGGACCTGTGCATTATGAAAAAGGTTGTACTTGTGTGGAATTAAAGGACTTGGAGTGCCTCAGTGGCATTTGTGCATGATCAAGATGAAAAAAAAGGAACATTGTAATTGAACAAAGACAATACATATCTAAGTGGTGAAATGAAAAATGAAGGCTGTAACCTTCTAGCTTTGTTAGTAGAACTGGTAGTTCAAAAAGTCATGAATAATTTGAGGAAAGTTCAACAAAAACAACAAAAGCATAGGTTACGTTTATATTACATATGTTATTGCAAAGGGCATTTGACTCATTCATGTTCATCTATAGGGGATTAAGTTCATAATTATAGTACATATATTGAAGAAAAGAGCTATGGGCATTGAAAACATAATAATAATAATGAAATAGTAAAAAGAATGGTAAAGATAAATGAAAAGTTTGCAAATGCATTGATTAGGCTTAGTTTATTTTTGAACTTAATAAACATGATTATACAAAAAGAAAAGATTTACCTGGAGATGTTTGAATAAGAGAACAAGTATTGGTTGTATGGGTGACAAAATTGTTAGATATGTTCTTGGTGTTGAAATTGATGTTGATGGTGTTAAAGTTGTTCATAAGTTTTTATAAAACAAGGATTGTCTTGTGATGTTATTCTTAAAAAGTTGTAGTTTGTAAAATCTAAATATAGCTTCAAATAGAAAATGGTGTATGCCTTTATACAATCCAGTTCAGCCTTAACAAAACAGCATTTGTGTTTTTAAAAGAATCTGTAATTGATAAAAACATTGTGAATGAAGATCATATAGTGGTGAAAGGGAATAACAATAAGAAAGAATATAAAGATAAAAATATTTTGTGTGTTAAAGATGAATTAATGAAAGATGGTGATGTTGATAATAAAGAAAAGGAAAATAAATTGTTAGTATATTAAATAAAAGATTGAATTGAATGAAATATATAACCTTTGACCACAAACCATAATCTGATGAATGCAAAAATCTTAGTTGATATTATCAATATAGTGCAAATATTGATAGGGAGTAAATATAAAGTATTCAAGTATTATCAAAAATCTATTGAAGCAAATCATATTGATAAAGTGCTAATTGTTGATCTAAATAAATTATTGAAAATAGAATCAAATCAATGTTTGACATCTGCTAAAAAGAGTCATGTTAGTAGAATATATAATTTTGTATGTTGTAATTGAAATAGAATTAAATATAATAAATGTGAAAATAAAGCATTTAATAGTTATTGAAAAACACCTGATGTTGATTATATAAATAAAACATATAATGTTAATTATAACATTGTCAATGAATATCATCAAAATAGAATTGGCAATAAAATGAACAATTTCTCAGCAAATGATTATCAAAAAGATGCCGATATAGGTTATGCTAATGCAATATGTAATTATAGATATTGTTGTAGAAATAGATTTGAGACCAAAAAGAAGGTTTGATGTAGATCTGATATATGGTAATAATATTCTGAAAGACCTGAAGATTATAGTATAGAGATTACTAGTGAAAAGAATGATATTGGATACTATTATCAATATGCAATAAAGATCCTAATATAGATACTGAAAATATGTTAAACAATAGTGTAAAAGACCCTGAAAGGTTATGTAATATAAAATGATATTGCTAATTTGGAAGTAGTTATTACAATGAATATTAGAATTGTATAATAATAATAAGTAAAAAATATTGAAATAATATATTAATTATGATAGTTGTTTTCTAGTTGTATTTTAGTAGTTAAATATTTGTTTAATATAAAACATTTTACATTAATATGATAGTATAGAGTTTTATATTAGTATAAGTAATTTGCAAGTAGTGCAATTTGTATAGATAAGTTGGTTTTACATGGTTACAACTTCGAGAACGAAGTTCTAAATCTAGCTTATGATATAGATTAAATTGTATCTCTAGATTCATAGTGCCATAATTTGTATAGGATCAGATTTGTGTAACTAATGTATTTTTTTTCAACTTTGGCAGTCTTGCCAATGATCCTTTATTAAGATTGTCTTGTTACAGGCATGACAATATACTTTAAGCTTAATATTTAGGCTTGACATCCCGTAGTTACTTCTAAGAGCACTTTCAAGTGACTTGCCGCACTAGGCAGATAAATCTACAAGAGACATATCACAGTAAATTCGAAGACCACCTATCCTAGAAAGCCATATCAGACCACCACCCTACAATAGGATATCACCAATCTGATGACATCTTCTTGTAGAGAAGTAAAAAAAGAAAAAAATACTAACACTAATACAATATTAAAAAGGAGGAAAGGAAAAGAACAAAAGAAAAAAAATATGATAGTCACAATTATAAGCCTGTATCAGGTTAACAAAAATTACATATTACAAGATAAGGAAGCTCTGTATCTAACTTTATCCTAATAATATATCTAATCTACACTAGAAAAAAAAGAAAAATAGTAGATTTAAACTAGACTAGACAGAGTAGTATATAAAAAAAACACCAATAGTCTTGAAGTATTGTTTAAACAGTTTTTTTTGATCAAGACACGTTGCCTAATTGTATTGTTCTTCAGACGTATTCGGTTGCTTAATCCAGCCATCAATCAATTTGTGTTTATTTAAAAATAAAAACCTGTTTTAGAAGAGCCAACTTGTTTTGGGTTAGGTAAACAATATCGACTATTTTAGAAAATTACGTGTTGATCTTTTGGAGGAGGTAAGCTGAGATGCTCACTTTTTGACAAATTTTTTCAAAAAAAGTAATGGGCCAACAAAACTTTGTGGGTCTTTCCTTGTAAGTTTTACAGTTGTATAAGAACTATCTCCAGTTTTTTTAATATGCTTAGTGTTGATCTAGTCATTCTGTGTTCTCAGAATATCTTTCTGATTTGGATGCTGAATATAATAGAGGAGTTCGCTAACAAGAAAGCTTGACCTCTACAAAAACTGTCCAAAGTAGTCTGCTTCTTGGTTTTACACTCTTAGTACTTTGTCAACAACACATCTACTTGTGTAAGACCAAGTATATTATCACCCTTTGATGTCTTCTATAATGCTGACTGTAGTTCAGATTTTTGGACATGTTGATCAAAGGCTCGTTGGAAAGAGTATGTATGTGTAACTAATGCATTGCATTCTTGATTATTTAAATAATATAAGATCTTAGAAATAACTAGAAGAAAAAGGTTAGCTTTAAATAGAGTTAGTTTTAGCTTTAGTAGCAAAAGAATAAAGAGATATTTATAATATAAATTGTGTATTTGCATCATTATAGTGTATATAGAATTAAAGGTGAAAGTGCTTTGTACAATACTCCAGTCTTGTTTTTTTTTTTTTTTTTTTTTAAGGTGAGGTTTTGCCTTTATCTTTATTTAATAATTTGTATTGAGAATCCACA